CTTTTCTTTGACCCTCCCTCCCCATGAATGCTCATGAGGTCACTACTGTTTAACTAGCAATGACTTGCAGCATCCATTGCAAATAACACTGACTTTTATCCAAAGATACCTAAAGGCATTTGGCAGTGTTACTTTTATTTGGATTCCCCTCAATACCCTTTCTAATCTTTTGAAAGAATCTCCCACTTTGATATTAGGAGTTGGTTGCCTTCCCTGAGAAAAATGTGAATTTATGCACTAATGTGCAATATTGCTGCTAGCTGTTCTACATCTGAAAATCCATCATTTTAGTTATCTTCTATCTGGTTCATCAACCCTTATGCAAATTTAGAGTATGCCATTATTTAAAGAAACTCTTTCAGTGTTATAAAGGAATTCCTCAGCTGTAGTTCTCTCCAGAACATAAGCTGTTCAATGAGAAAGCATGATTGAAGAGTTACTTTTAAATACCAAATAAACATCAGGATTAATATATGTTTAAAGACAGATAATGGCTGGAGGGAATAAATGAAACAAAGTTGATTGGTTGTAGCTTCTTTTTTCCTTCTACTACTGTTAAGTGAGTCTGACCAAACCATAGACAGGGTCCAGGAATAATAAAGATATCAGCTAGAAACAGATTAACCAAGTTAATTTCACCTTTCTGCTTGAATTCAAGATTCATGCTACCTGGTATGAATTTGTCAAATTCCCTACTTATTTTGTTTCCATCTTTCATCTTCAGCTATAATATAGTAAATTTACTCACAAGTAAATTCCATGACATCCACTTATTTCTGAGACAATATACACAGCTGAAGCTGCAGATTACGCTTTCTAAAACACTTTCCTAATTAGGAACAATAACCTAGACCTTTGAGTCCAAATAGGAAGGTAAGTTGCAAGAAGAATAGGTAGCCATCATTCAGTGGCCAAAAACTAAGCAAGAAAACTCTTAGATACCCCTAATGGAGTCTCAGAGGAACAATCTGTTCCTAAATTACTTCATGAATTGAGTCTTCCTCTCTTTCAGTTAATATTTGGTGGGGGCAGGGAATTGCAGAACGGATTACTGTAGAACATTCAGGAGAACCAAAGCAATTGCCCTGATGTTATCTGAGAATCTAACTCGCATAGAATTCCAAGTCTCAAAAATGATTTTGTAGTAGAAAAATACACAAAAACACACACACACACAAAATACACACTCCACTTTAGCTATTAGGGACTGCTTCTCAGAGAGAAATGCAAAATGGGGCAAATATCTGATGAAACAATCTCCATCATTATCCTTGTTTGGACTGTGGTCTGGTATTCCTATTAAGGTTACAGTTGAAATGGGTGTTCAGTGCAATGAATGTCTAAGCCTTCGAGGAAGTGAAGACATGCTTGAAAGATGTGGATAATGGAATGGGTGATCCTGGAAACTCTGAGGTGACAGACAATTGGCTCAGCAGAGTTCTCCAAGGGCTAAGAAAGAGGCCCTACTTTCCAATACACAACCCTCCCCTTGGGCTTCTACTTGAGAATAAACTAGGTAAAATAAATAAATAGGTTCGGCATCATTTATACCTTACAAAATCCAGATTAAATTGCAGAAAATTTAGAGTGGGTTTTTATGTCATTTTGACTGCAAATATTTACCAGGCATGCCCCCCCCTCAGAGCAACCCATTAATAACAGGATGATAGAGGCATTTAATTCCTAAAATTCTAATTATTTTGACAGTGAACTGGAATAAAACTCCTGAATTTTGTCATGCAAATGACAAAAGTCATTTGCTCACAGTAATGAAAAGTAAAAATTTAAAAATATGAAGTGCAAGATATAAATTAAGCAATGTACTGAAAATCATTCAAAATTTGCACAACTTCTAGAAGAAGAGCATTAGAAAGTGTTTGCAATGATTTAGGATTTTGAAAGGCAACCTAGTTTTAGATTTCCCAAAGCTGTATCTCAATTAGTAATGGGAAAAGCCAGAAAAATGTTTTTTTTCTTTTCTGTAGGTTAACCAATCATGGTTTGACTACATCTCTATTCAAGAGCAGTTCTGTAAGAAATGAGCAAATGTGTCCTTTTTCACGTGAAAGCAATTGGGGATTGCAGCATGTTTAGAAAACTGTTTCAGATCAAAAGTTCCCTTATTTGCAATAGCTGTCAAGTCAGGAGAGAATTTTATTCTAAATTTTCCACTGACATACAGCTTTCTATATGCAGGATATTTGAAATAGTAGAGAGAAATTACGTAAGAGCAATGCAGACTTTGTCCACCCTACTCTAGGCTCTCTGAAACTGGAACATAGTAAGACCAAATTGGGGTGGGTGGGGAGCCAGCAGAAGGGTTTGAAAATGAGCTGGTTTGCACTGGTTGATTAAATTCTCCCAATGTGTCCTGATGGGAGAGGCACTTAGGGAGCAGCTTAAGTTGCTTGTTTGTTTAAAATGTATTTATTTAAAAGAATTGTGTGACTTCCCACCTTCATCCACAACGTGGGGCAGCTCATGTTGCCAACTCCTCCATTCTAAGGCCCTGACCTCCTCCAGTCAAATGATTTGGAGCAGAACTATTAATAAAAGGGCTAGAGAGAATCCACAAGGTATGCTGTGCAATCTTTATCCTGCCTTGTTGTAATATACAGAAGAAATCAAACCGCCCAGAAGTTGTATTTTCATATAATAGAATGCTGGTAGAGCTGGTTCTCTCCCTCTCCATCCAAAGAAGAAATTTCTACCTTTTGTTTCTACTGCACAAAGTGATGGGATTACACAAAAGGAAGCTGTTTGTGATACAGGTTCAGTGACCACTGAAACCTGTGACAACAAGTGGTAGTTGTAACTGAAGTTGTGGCTGGCACAACACCCACACATTTATGTGATTGCGATCCAGGTGCTCAGCAATCAGCCCAGATTTCTGACATTGCAAGTTTCATTCATTCACATGTTCATGATTTGCAGCCTTCCTTTCCTGCTTCCCACAAGAGATCTTTGCTTAACAATGGTAACTAGGGACTGCCAGAACTGCTGTTGCTAAGCAGTAATGTCATGTGATGTTGCACTTTAAAACACATTGCTTAGCAATAGAAATTCCAATATTCCAGTTACAGATATTAACCAAGAACTACCTGTACTGAGGTCACCAAATGACTTCTTTTTGTTTTAGGGACCCTAAAGAAGACTTACATGAGTCTGCATTAACAGGACTGTGCTACAAATTCAGATATTTCATATTTCTCCTTCTGTCTTAATCCTCTGCAGAAAAGGAATGTAAGGATCTACTAGGCAATAGGTTGTTTAGTGCAGAGGTCTCCAACCTTTCCAGGCTCATGGACCGGAGGGAAGGAGAGCAGCTTCAAAATTGGTGCACGTGCACATGGGGCCACGCACACTGACGCGGCACTAGCAGCCCCATTCACATGCAGCATGCTCTGGCACCATGCACCCCCCCCCCGGCGGCGATTAGCAGCCCACCGGGGTTAGCGCCCCCGTTCGTGCATGTGCAAACGGGCCATGGATACCTGCCTTTTGCTAGCGTTCCTGTTCTTGTTCACGCACACATGCAAATGGGCCACGGGCGCTAGCGCGAGTGGGGGGGAATGCATGCATGCATGCACTGGCCAGCCATTTCTGAGGCCTGCTGGCCAAGAGCCCATGGCCTGGGAGCAGGCCATGGCCTATAGGTTGGGGACCCTTGTTTAGTGAATGGAGAGTTAGGAAAGATGACTGTGAGATGTCCTGTCCTAAGATGAACAGCTGCATGCAATTGTCCCAAGAATCTGGAATGTTTCATCAGGCCTGTGCTTATTCAGCTCTGCATTTTGTCATTTCATACCCACACCTTAAAATATAGAAGTCTGTGGATCAAAGATACTGACATTTCCACAAGAAAAAGATTGAAATACTTTCTCTTAAGAACTATATAGCACCATCATCTGCATTAGAGAAATAAGGCCGTGTGGAGACATGGAGGTTTCAGCATTTCTTGGTTTTAAATTTCCTAGAGTTACCCATAGTCTGGCCATTCAAGCACAGAAACGGTGACCAATACTTGTTTTAAACTAAAGAGAAGCCATCTGCTACCTAAAGATGAAAATCCATCTCCGTTTTCAATTGTCACAGGAAGTCTGATGCATAGGGCCAGGAAAGCAAGGTGCGCCATCTTTTCCCTGGTGCTGGTGGTTGCTGCAGATTGCTAAAAATGGACAATAAAATGTCCTGATCCTCTCTCTCTCTCTCTCTCTCTCACACACACACACACACACGCACACACTTTTTTTTTTTTACTGAGACCTGGTGTGACTGCTGGTGCCACTACAATAGGTTAAAATTATGTGGCCAGTATCTAGCATAATGCAGGCTGGGTATGAGGCTTAATAGTGTTGTATACTGATTGTGCCTGAGGAAAGCTATCCATCCTAATATAATGACAAAACAGAATTGATCTGTGTTCAGCTTGCTTATTTTCTCTCTCTCTCTCTCTCTCTCTCTCTCCCTCCCTCCCTCCCTCCCTGTGTTATAAGCATCTGATTCTTGAAAGCAGCACCTCTTAATCTCTGATGGTTTTTTTTCCTACAGACTAAGCAGGCAGTCCAGTCAGCACAATACATCAGCTCACAATATTCCCTGATGCCTTTTCCCATAATGCTGTTCCCAAATAAAAAAAAAAAGGCATCTCCTTGAATTGGGAAATAAAACTCACTCGCAGGCAGCCAAACATCCAACGTCATGAACCATAGCACAGCATTCAACTCTCACTGCTCAAATTCCTGTTGTGAGTGGCCAGTTAGGAATAGAAAGGTTTCCAGAGACAAGAGAGACTTTCATTCTGTCCCAGGCTATGCCATATAGGTTCTGTATGTCAGATCTCCTCAGTGAGCTACAAGAAGACAGAAGCTGTTGCTCCAACCATGAAAGAGCAACATTCCTCAGCTGTGGCTGGCTCAGGAACAGCCAGTCCTAGAACTGCCAAAGAGATTGGTAGCTTCAGGGCAGAGTGGTTCTTCCGTCATCAGTTGTAGATCCTCTCACTCACTTGAGGGCCCTATTTTCTCCTCCACCCGACTGCCATCAAGGGGATGCAATTTGCACTTAGAAGGGGAATGTCGGACAGTTGAACGTGATGACCGAGAAAAACAGGAAGTCAACGACTGAGAGCTGCAGTCACAAGCAATATCCTATAAAGAGAAAAAAAATACTGAGTGGAAAAAGAACAGGTTCAGATGAAGACTTGAGATGGTGGTTAAGAGCAGGAATCTTCATGTTACCCATAGCAGTAAATTCCTTTATGCAGGATTCTGTGTTCGTGCTCTCATCTACATCATACTGAGGCCTGTTGTACTCAATTACTTATAGCCATTAAAGTTAGTTTCCCTTTTCTTGGCAAAAGAAAGATAGAACTGTTCAGTGAAAAAACGCGTCAGCTATAACTGAATATTCATTTTTCATGAAAGAATTTATGAAAGAAGAGTGACAAGCTAAGGTATGTGAAGTTTATTTTTTGTGTGTTTGTGCTGAAGTTGATATTTATAGCTCTATATACTTTTCCTATTTTCATTCTATTCTCTGTGTACAAATTTGTCTTGTTTTGTGTTTACTGTTTGCTAATTTCCAGCATTGTTCTTTAGAAACCACTTTCCTCTCACAGTTGAGTTGCTGGGACATACATGTAAGCCAACTGATAGTAGACAGTATCTAATCTAGTACTAATTAGATATTAATTAGTATCTAATCTAAGAGATAGTCCAGGAGAGGCTGGGAGGAAATAAAAGTAACCCCAAAGCAAAATAGAAGGTAGAAGTGTACCAAGAGAGAGAAATTAATGCACTACTGAGAGATTCTGTAGGCTTCCCAGCTAGAAAAATTGATAGATATAGCAAGGAAGCCCAGAGGAGAAATAGATAAAAACTGGAAAGAGTAAGGCTTACTACAATATTCTTATCTCATCACATACATCCAGTATGAAATTAGATCTATTTGTCAAAGATTTGTATATTTAAATTATTCTGGACAAATAAAAATGTAATATATAAAAGGTAATTAAGGGTGCAATGTATGCCCAACCTCTAATTTAAGTATGCCTGATACCTAGTAGACTTTACTTCAGGTTATTGGTAATCACTTGTCTGTGGTTGGTAATCATTCCTAAAACAGACATTGCATGAAAGAAGAGTAGTTATTGAAATAAATGTCTAGACCAGGGTCTGCAACTTTGGCAACTTTAAAACCTGTGGACTTCAGCTCCCAAAATTCTGGGAATTCTGGGAGCTGAAGTCCACAAGTCTTAAAGTTGTCAAAATTGCAGACCCCTGGTCCAGACTATAAATTAATCCCGATCTGGAAAAAAATGAAGTGTCAAAGGCACATATTAATACATTCCTTGGTTTCATGCAGTTAGAATAAGTATCTTTCACAAGCCTCCTAGACAGATATGATTGCCAGGCTCATCTGAATGTTTTTTAACTACTGTGCAGTCTACACCAAAATATTATGAAAGCCATTGACATCTTTATGTTTTGGCCTTCACATTGTTAGTGGATGGAAAATATCCTATGCTATACTTTAATTCATTGGGAAGGGGGCTAGAAACTCATTTGCTTTTGCTATTAAGAGATATATTCCATATATTGTAATAAATATTACCTCGTTGGCAATAGTAGCAGAAACAGCATCAGTCTCCTTTAAGGTTCTGTCCTTGCCACCTTGGCTTAGACTGGAGAGCTTTGGTTCCTCATTGCAGCTCTGCTTTGTAGTTTTTTTGGAGGTGTTTTCCAAAAGCTGGAGCATTGCTGAGGAAGGTTCTGGCTTCTTGTTACTGTTGTCCCCTCCAACTGGGTCTTTCTTGTCAGGAACCAAAGTGGGACTTTGAGTTCTACCACACACATTCCGGAAAAACTCTTGCACTATACCATATTTTGGTGCTTCTGGCTTGGCTTTACTTTCCTGGCATCCAGGCTTCCATATGGACTCTGTGCTCCCAGAATGCTCCACAACATTGAATAAGCTAGACAAGCCATCATTAATGTTGCTTAGAACTGGACTGTCTCTAGTAGTGGTGGACCGAGCCCAGGCTGAGCCATTTTGCTTACTCTGATGGAGGTTCCACAAGCTTCGGTCCTTGGAATTATCCAGCTTAGATAATGATCTTCTTTGGAGTTTGGGAGAACCATATTTGGGAGAGCAACAGGGCCGTTCAATCCTGGAATGGACTTTGTCCAGAGATGTTGAAATCTGCTTGCTGCGCACTGACACAAGGGAGGAACTTCGTGGTGACCAGCTCTTACTACTGTGGATGCTTCCTCTGGGTATGTCTGTCTGCAAGCCAATACTGACCGTCTGAATAGTCTGGGTACCAACATTGGCCAATCCCACTGTCTGGCTAGAGGTGCTCTTAACCTTTCTTTCAAGGGAACTGGAACGAATAGCTTGACGAACACAATTGGTGATTTCCTTCATGTCATCACTCATGTTGCCAGAAATTTCAAGGTTATGCAGGGATGGTGGGAATTTGGACACTGGAGCTACAGCTTTCTCACTAACAGCACTACCATCAAGTAATTCCCGATGCTGCTTGGAAAAGTTACACAACCATCGACTATACATGTTTTCTGAGCTGTCTGACTCTTCCTTGGGCTTAGCCATTGTGAATAGAAAACCAGGCTCAACCATGATCTTCTCCTCTCTGTTGTGCATTGGAGGAGGTTCCAACCTTCGTACGACAGGTGGGCTATAGTATATGCGGATCCCAGTTTTGTCTGGAGCTGTATAGCTCCTCTGCATTTGTTTCTGGGTCTGTTCCAATGTAGGTAAGTCATTTGTCTGAATGCATTCACAAGGGGAAGCATCCAGCTTCTCTGAAGCCAGGATCTTGGGTGTAGGTTGCTTACTGTTCACACAAGCAAAGTTCTCAAAAGTGATCCCAGTAGGTTCTGGCAACTTCTGTGTAGTTGGAGATACTTTTCTGCTGTGGGCATTGTCTATGATCACAGTGCTGCTTTTGCCAGGAAGATAAGGAGAGCAGTCAAGCAAACTTTCAAATTCAGACATGGAGGAAACTGACTTTGTCCTAAATAGACAAGAGAAAGCAATGAGTAACAACCTAACGTTTGGACTGAGAATTTTATGTGTCCTACCTATGTGATGTCTACTTTTTTTCCTGTCAATTCTGTCAGTTTCCCTGTCATTTTCCAATTAATCTTTTAACATGTCTAAGGATGTAGCAAAAATAGGTGTTGTGAGAATGGATAGAAAGTAGATAGAATTTGCAGACCTGATTCAATTTCTCATGCCTTATGCTATTTTGCCAATGACAAAACTCAGTGCTCCTATTAATAATTCTGTATTTAAAAACAGTGCCATCATCAAAATGACATTTTCAGCATGGGAATAGAATAAAAGCACTACCATGCTCTGGGTTATTGGTAAGATGCCACTTTCTTTTAATCACAAAAATGGTATTTTATGCTAATATACAAATTATTGATGGTGTCAGAATAAGACACAGATTCTTATGTGCACAGAAAATAATAAAAACACTACATCTTCTGTTTAAAATATGCTTTTGAATATGAAATGTAAATGTCCACTGAAAAATAGACTGGTCATCTGTCAACAGTTATCCTACCTTTTTAAATTACTTCCTTTGATATCAATTTCAGAAGCCATCTCTTTGTCAGTGATTTTCTCATTGAGGGTCTGAAAAAAACATAAAAAAAGCTTTTATCAACTGTGATTTTATGATTTTGTGTCAGGAAGGGAGAAACTCAGATAAAATAAGAGTCGTATCAGTTCTCTATGTGAATTTAAAACTTTACTTGTTTGCCTTTAAATAGTCAAAAGAGTTCTAAGACACAGGATGCTTTCTTCCTTATAATAATTATGAACCACATGAGTAATGGAAGTATAACCCAGAGATCCAGAATTGCAAAAATGTTATCTGTTTCTTAGAAAGAATCTTAAACTTTACATGCTTGATGGATCACACTAAGATCTATCTAATCCTGGATCTAGTCAAAAGACATTAGCAAGTTCACATCTCTGAATGTGATTATTACCTACTCTTTATTTCCAGCCTATGATTACAGCTGATATCCAACTCTCTGTCTCTAGAACAACACTATAAGGCTCCCACTTAAAAGGCTCAGAAAGTGATTGAAAACTGGTTGTTCTCCCAGGTCTTGGGGTTGGTTATTGAGTCCTATACGATTTCTGTTTATTACTCATGTATGCCTTTTTCTTCTGGATGCATATGATTTGTACTCCTATTTTAATGTTTCCTGCTTTTAAAGGGTATGCCATCCAGAACTGGGCAGCCTCTAAATCATAATAATAAGCCCAATATTGGTCCTTCTTATGGATCTTGTAATTAGAATAAAGTAATGTTTATTCAGCTTACCTCTTTCCAGCTACCACCATGCTTCTCCATTTCAGAGGCTTTTAAGGCCCATCGGTTGGCACCTTTCTGAAGCTGAATAGTTTACAAAACAAAGTTAACAAATGCTCAGCCTGCTCCTAAGCACTTATTTGTCCTTCATATTCTTATCTGCTTTAACAATATCTGCAGAGACCTCCTGACTTGGCAAAATCAAAACTGCTTTAGCAACTCTGATTCTCTCTCTCTCTGCTGTCTTTTTCACACACAGCTCACAACTAGAAGGATGAGATGGCATATCAGATAGATTCAGAAAGAGGAAGTAAGCCTCTCCCAACTTTGTCCACGGAGCTGCCAACTCCAAGCAACTCAACCATAGGGTTTTTACTTTAGTCATTTGGTAATGTTAAAAAAAAATCTTTAGGAAGTGACATTCTCTTAGCTGTTTTTGAGGTAGATGGAAGAACTCCTGGTTTCCCTGTGCATCTATCATATGTACTACTGGCATATGCTGTAAAAAGGGGATTGATGAACTAAGTTAACTATGTCATGAAAAACAGCCATTTCACTGAAAGTGCACCTGGCAATCTATATAGCCAATGTATGTACCATTTTGGCATTCTTTTGCGTGATCTCACAAGAATTGGATAATTTTATTTACTTTATTTTTTGCACAGAGCACAGAGATGCCTGCTCCGACTCCTTGCCATTGTCTATTGTTATGTACACAGTATTTTCATCCTGCCCTTTCTCTAATAGGGATCATGTGGTTTGCCTCCTCACAACAATCCTAAGAATAGGAAGACAAAAAGTGAAAATCCAAAAATTATGAATTACTACTCCAATGCTAAACAGCTATTTGAACTCAAGAAGCCATTTTGGGCTATGCATATTCTTAAAGACACATGACTTCTTGTCCAGGATGCGGTATTAAAATCACACTTATTAGAAGAAGAAGAAAATGAGCTAGGAGGACAAGGCAAATTTCACACTCATTTTTGGTTCCTACCTGGTTAATTTTGTTCTGCAGTTCTTTCACCTGTTGCTCTGCCTGCTGCTGTTCATCCTTAAAATGATCCAAGAGTTCCAGCTTTTCGTGATCCCAGTTCTTCTCATTGATTTGAAGTTGCTTGGTCAGGTCCATAACAGCACTATATGATTCAGCTAGGAGATGCTGATGCTCTTCCCTTTCCCTCTTCAGAGCAGTTTTCCACTCAGAAAGAGCACGTTCTGCTGGACCTTTTCCAGTCTTAGTTTCTAACTGCAAGGACAAAAAATAAAACTAATTAAAACTAACGCATCAGCAGCTACAGTTTTGGAAGAGCAAGACCATTTCAGTCTTCTGGCTTATTTCTCTCTTTAAAGCATTTGTTATTGACCTAGTCCCCTCCAAGCAGTCATTCTAGATTAGAATGATATTGTCTGACATGTGATGTGGCAGCAGGTTGGAGAAGACTATCCTACCAAATCCTGGGATTAAAGTGGGAAGAGCCAAACTAAACCAGCAATCAAGAGCTAGAACCGCTACTCCCCAACAATATTAGTAAATTATTAAGATTATGCAAGCTGTGAATTCTGAGCATTGTAATCCCATCTTATTGGGATAGCATTAACTACCTACAGTAAAGAGAATAGTATGGGTAGCTGGGTGGCACCAAAACTGCCAAATTCACTTCCTAGAGTAATTCATTTTTTTAGTATCAGGCCACGCTACGATTAGGATTTCTTTAATCACCTTTTCTCTTATTTCTTTCTTCCAAATTTAATTTGATGCTGCTAATTTGCTCTATCACTTTTCCCCTCTTGCCAATATGATTTCATGTCATTTCTAAAGTTTCTGAGTTATCCCGAAGATGCTTTTTCACAAAGCAACTGGACTTTCTTGGGGTTTTTTTTGAAGATGTTTTGCTTCTCATCCAAGAAGCTTCTTCAGCTCTGACCGGATGATGGGAATGTTTCCCCATCATCCGGTCAGAGCTGAAGAAGCTTCTTGGATGAGAAGCAAAACGTCTTCAGAGAAAAACAAGAAAGTCCAGTTGCCTTGTGAAAAAGCATCTTTGGGATAATTATAACCTGGATGATTGAGAATCTATATAGACATAAAGTTTCTGAGCTCCTGGGAATTTATGAATGAAATAAAAACCTGTCTGTAGTCTCAATCTTCAACAGCAATATCACATTTTTAAGTTCATATATTTTCTATAGATTTCAAAGGACGACTAAGCTGGAGTTGTCCTTCATGAAGCCATAAAGTCAGGCAGGAATATAAACAGATTAATTCCATGATTTTATGGCAAAAATGACTGATTAGGATCTAGGGCGATAGAGCATTTCATGTTCTTCCTCCAAAGCAGAAAAGAAAGATAGATTAGTCAGTCAAAATGAGGTAAGACTCAAGCCTTTCATAGCTCCTATATTCTACTGGAGTACAAGAATTGTTTTCTTATGTTTAACGTGAATGGTAAAAGCAGTCCATTTATGCATGTCCTCCTTTTTCCTTCACAATTCCTGGTTGTTCATCAAAAGAAAAAAAGTATACCAGAAATGCCTTCCTTGCCTTGCCCTGATAGGATTTCCTTGGAAATTGAGCAGAAAAAAAATACATGCTTTTATCTCAGAATAGTAAGATAAGAGACAAGATTCTGATATCACACAAAAACATTATTCCTGTAACAGATGGAAATAAAAGTTTTATTAGGGAATTAGTTTCCAACTCTTAATAAACTGTGAGCAAAATCTACAAATAACAGGACCCCTGCCAAATCAGGATGAAAAGTGATGAGTAACAAATAATTAGAATAGATCCATCTGAGTCCTAAATCCCTATTTCTAACAAACTGTAAATCTCTACAGCTATTAAGAAAGGCTACTAAAAAGGAAGACATTACTAAAGCAAATACGAATCCTAAACAGAGCATGTGATGAAGTCTTGGGAATGATGAGCCCATTAAAACAATCAGTTCTTTTGGTGCAGGCAAATCCCCAAACTCATGACATTCACCTCAAGCCATATGCCTAATGGAATGGAGATATGGTCACCCAGAAGTCAGAGAAATCCACTGATGAAAGTGAGATTGCAGCCTTTGATGAAACTTCTAGAAGTGAAGCTAATTAAACACTAACTAAAAATTGTGGAATAATTTGTTGCTTAGGAAAATTAGCTTGAAAATAGGGAGAATCCTTGGGGGGGGGAGGTTAACAGTCTGACTCTTGAGTCTTGCCTGACCGCTGCTCTCATTGTGAGAGATTAAGCAAGCAAAGATAAGTAGTAATAAGGAATTTCCAAATGAAGCATAATCCAAATATTCTTTTCCATAGTATACTTGTGCAACCAGAGACTAAGATGTTAAGGACACAGGGGTGAAACACTAGCTGCAAAGGCCACAGCTCTGCCCTTCTGCAGCAGCTCCAGAGAAGAGTGAATTAATTCTAAAAGATTTGTCCCCAGGCTCCCTTACAAACTGACAGCTCAGACAGCTGAAGAGGAAATTATTATTCTATTCAGACAATAATTGGACAAGATGGTTACATTTATGAATAATAGCAGTTTAATGCAGATGCCATTCTGGGTAAGTAACTGGTAGCAGGCATCTGGGGGAATCTATGAAAAATCTAATAATGGCATCTCCAGAGTAAATTACTAACAAGTGGGTCATTTCTTGGGGCTTCATCATTATAACCTTGAAAAGGAGAAGCCTTCCAAAAGCCAAAAGTGAAGTTCCCTCACAGCTTTTCTCAGGTTGTTATGTTCTTGCATCTATTTGTCTTCTGTAACAGCAGGCTGAAATTCAGTCTGGGCACTGCAGAGACAGCTTATGGGTAATTTCTCAACTGATTGGAGTAACCTAACCTAAAACGTATTAGTGACAATTTTATTTGCTCGCCTTAACTGAATGGGGGAAGGAAATCTCTGCTCATGGAAGTTGCTTCTTCTCTGGTATTGTGCTTACATCAAAACCCATGAGAGAAAATCTGTTCTTTCAATTTGCCCATCTCTTTACAACTCATTAGCAACTTTGGACAACTTCTATATAAACTACAATGCAATTTTATCCATCAGGAAAGCCTCATGTTGGGATGGATGGGTAGAAGGAATTAGATTAGGAATGTCTACTTTTGATATTACAGTTGTTCTTCTAAATTTTATTATCTGTTGCTTTATTGATATTTTAAGCCATGTTTTATAGTATCTATATTATTCCTTGCAGTTTTCTTATGCAATTATTCTGTTTGTTTTATCTTTGATGTTATATCTTTATTTTTTGAAAATATTCCAGTTGATGCAATAGAATAGCTTTTTAATGTTCACAAATCAGGCAAGCAGACAGGTAGGCAGGTGTGTTAGTGCCGGGGCTTCTAAATTCAATGGCTAAAACACTGAAAATGCTAAGCATTTGCAGAAGCATTGCACATAATGACTGCTTTTGTAGTAGCAAAGTTTTTTAAAAAATATCTTCAAAATAACCAAAGAACACAGCTTTATGCATATTGAAATATATTGTATAATTCATATGTACATATTTTTAAATATATAAGATGTACATTGACAACAATGACATGTTGTTTCTTGCCCCAATGCCTAGGAAAGTAAACCACATGCTGAGATAACCATATAACAGCCTTTCTCAGTTTACTGTGCTTCCTGTCTAATAAGCCCTGGTTCTCTGCTGTCAACTTCTGGTTTGACAGTATATCTCAAGGCAGTAGGCTAGGCTGGGACAAACAATTAATTCCATATCCACTATTCAAGACTACTGTGGAAAAGAGAATTTCTCTTGCATCTCCTATTACGTTAATCTAAACCAGGGGTCTTCAAACTTGGCCCTTTTATTTATTTATTTATTTATTTATTTATTAAATTTATATACCGCCCTATCTCCCTTGCGGGACTCAGGGCGGTGAACAGGCGATACTAAAAACCATGAATAAATAAATAGTTTCTGTTTTAAAATCGAATTGAATAATAGGCCTGTTCTAAAAACACACCCATACAAAACCCCCCACTGAAACACAATCCAAACTACGCCAGGCCGGCCGCACGGAATAGATGGCTATGACTTGTGGACTTCAACTCCCAGAATTCCACAGCCAGTATGGCTGAAGACCCCTGATCTAAACAGTCCCCTCAGTCTACTCTGTATAGATATACTAAATGTTCTCTCTTTTAATTTCAAGTTACTTTTTCCAGTCTCTGGCTTTACTAGTTTATTTTATCCACAATTTTGCTCACCAGTTTTCTCAACAGAAAAGATTATTTTAAAAAGAGGAGCATTTAAGCCTCCTCTGTGGCTAACCAAAGAATCATGGTTGCATTCCTTTTTATAGCAGAAGTTTCAGATTTGTTCTGAATCTTGTCCTGAACAAGAGCAATACAATTAGATGGGGATTTGACAGCAGAGAACCAGGGCTTATTAGAACTCTTATATCCAGGACCCTAAAAATTATTCACACGGTTAAGACTCAGTTCATAAGTTCCATTTTTTATCTTTTATTAAAAGATTTTACAAAGATTTTAAAAACTATAGAAACATAGATGAATAGGAAAAGATTACAAAAGAGTAAATAAAAAATAAAGACTAACAAAAAAGCAAGAAAAAAGATATCTAAAGAAGCATCTTTCAATCTTCTTTGCAGCAGTTATAAACACAGCTATTGCCATCTATACAGTATGTTGCTACATTACAATGGAGAAACTATTTTTTATTTGATCAACTTGATATCTGGCACTAAACATGTTTCTCGGATTCTAACCTGAGTGATAAGACTCTTGAGTTCAGTTCTCTCCATCTCCCAGGTGGCTTTGGCTTTGGCAAACTGTTGCTGCAGTTCGTTCATGCCTCTCCTCTCTTCCCGTAGTTCTGTGCACAGCTCCTTCAAGATCACCTTCATATCTGACAAGGTCTTGGTATATTCATTGGGCTAAAAAAATTACAAAAACAAAAATATGAAGTTCATATAGTAGATTGAAGAAAAAGTCACCAAACTACATCAGTTTCACAAAGAAAAGAATTTTGAAGGCGCAACATGCCAATGTTGAAAAGCAAGGTGGTATGATGTCTATGCGGTTGGACTAGGATTAAAGTGTCCAAAATTCAAATTTGCTTTGACTATAATATTCCCTCTCAACTAACCTACCTCAAAAGTTTACTATTCAGGGAAAGAGACACTTTTTGTGACAGAATGTCACAAGGGTGCTCTCTCTACCATCATATTGTTACCAACATCCCATGTAATTATTATACGTATTAATTTCCAATTGTTTGAATCATATACAGTATACGCACTGCCTCCTATGCATTTGGGTGTGAATTGAGATGTAGGAAAGATGAAATACATAAGACCACTCAAAGCATGTCATAGAAATAGATATTTATTGTGATAATTTGTAGCTTATGAAATGAAGAGTTATAACAGAAGATATATTTTTCAAAACACAAAGGGCTTCCAAAAACACTTGAACTGAATCAAATGATGACACTCAACTACAAAGTGCAAAAAAAGTATGAGAAGGCTAATTATCTGGAACTTGCCAGGCCTTGTTGTAACTTATAGAAATAGATGGGAATGGCACATTACATAAGGTAATATGGATAGTGGAAACTGTATCTCAGTTTTTCAGAGTTTTTCTGAGACCAATTCAAAACCAATCTGCCAAGCTAAACTTTGAGTTTGTAGATATACTTGGGTATTGAATGCATATTGTGAATGAAACTTTTGGTTCAGAAAGAAAACAATGAAAGATACAAACAAGCAGATTTATACTGTATATTTCTGAATCTCTGGACAAAAAAACAACAACAAGTAGCAGCAGAGGGGTAAGGCAGGCTCTCATTATACCTTCACCATGTCACTCCTCAGCTGCAACTTTTCTTTCCACAAATGCTTTTGCAGATTTTTTCATCATATCTCTGATGGGAAGAGAACATTATGGGCTAGGCTGCTTTGATAACTGAATATTGATTACATCTGAATAGATAAAGTCGTCAGGAAAAGCATAGTTTGTGGTGATATGAAAGTTTTGTATAGCTGCCATGAACAAAACTGTTACGTCACTTTAGACAGCATATTTTCCAGTCAGTCAGCTCATACATTCAAATTCAACTAATTCAGAGATGTACCAAACAATAAGTATCTAAGAGGGACTGTAAATGATCACAAATTCTATACAGAATGGATTCTTTATTCCATTGGTCTCCTATTCCATCTTACCATGTTCTGGGACCAAAGATCTCCAGTGTATGTCTTATTATCTGCTTGCTGCTGTGGGCTCAGTTCTTCCTCTTCAATCAGCAAATATAGTTCTTTCATGCTATTCACCTAAAAAGAGCAAACAGTGAGTAGGAGCCTATCATAACTAAATTGCCTGCTTTGTTGTCTGAAAAGAACCTGCTAGTACAGAGCCTACTGGACCCTTTAAGCAGAGGTGACAGGTTGAGAACTGTCAACAGATCAAGCCTGTAACTCAAAGTGGGATGCTACAATAAGCAGCAGCCACACAGAGATGTTTCCATGCCATGTCATCACAGCTATGTTTGGTATAACCCTCTCTCTCATGTTTCTGTACCAGGCACCTTTCTAGACATTTCTGCCTGGAAAGAATCATCCTTTGGGACTTCACAGTACACTGGCATATAAAGAAGCTGTTGTTGCCAAGCCTGCAATTTTTCAGCTGCACACAAACTATGCATTCTATTTCAATTAGCATGAATATGTTGCTCTGATAATGATGAGAGACTGTTTTGTTCATCTAATGTGGCCTTACGTCTCCTTATGTCCAGAGCCAAAACAATTCAATAAAACCTTATCAGTCAGGTAAAATAATTCCTTTTCCACCCAGTGTTGAAGTAATATGGAGGCAGGCAAGAATGAGGCTAACAGGATTTCAAGGAGGGTAGAGATGCTACTACACAACTCTTCTTACAATGTGCTTTCTCCACATTTGTGAAAAAGCCTCACTGCAGATTCATTCCCATACCATAATTTAATGAAGTAAAAATGCATATCTAAGTCTCCACGTGCTTTTTATGTCACTTGTGATTGTTCTCCCTGCAGTAGAGTAGGAATAATAACCCCTCCAAATGTTGAAGTGTAACATCTCTCCCTACTAGCTTTGTTGATGATCTAGAGTAAACTGTGGTTTTGCAGAGTGTTAAAGATCATAAATACCCAATTTTCAGAACAGAGAGGAGGATAAATAGAATGTATGTTCTAGCCAAAGTTAACTTGAAATATATATGAAGAATTTAAACAAAGCTGATTTAAGCTTGCATCTCAATTGCTGACCTTCACCAAGATATACTATTGAGAAAATTATCTAATGCCAAAAGCTAGATAATAACTCTTGCCTTCAAAGAGTGAATGATTTAAAAAAGATAAGAAGGAAGGAATAAAAGCTCCATTCCCTGAATGTTTGACAGAGCCTAAACTATGATAGCACCCAACCTTGTCCTAAGATGATAAAAGATGTTAACAAAACAACAGAATACACTCAAGGCAAATGTCACAGTTATCTCTGTTAATGTCAATTGAAGATTTTGATTACACAGATATAGAAGTTCATGGTCAAACATTACTATACCTCCAAGAAATCACTGCCTTCATTTTGCAAGGTTTTCCCCTGTCTCCAATGCTTCAAAAACCACTTGAGCTTCATAAAAAGAAGCAGGAAATTCTGTTTGAACTGTTGGGATTCTTGTACCAGAAGGTTCTTCTCCTGGCTCCAGAACTTCTGCTCCAATCTCCTCTGAAGGTTCAGGCTCTGCAGCTCAAATTCTCTTCTCAGGAGGGCCTTCTGGTGATCATCCTTTAACTGATGAAATATGGGAAGAAACTGAGAACATTACACAAAGGGTGTGTGTGTGTGTGTGTGTGCCAGCAAAGTCAGTTTACATTGAATCAAAGGAACCAAGAGTGCAGACAAGAAAAATCTAATGTATGGGAAGCATGAATATTTTCTTCTCCTTCACTAATGTTTTCTTTTTTAAAATATTTGAAATGCTTGGTATGGAAAACCAAAAAATGTTAAAAGCATATGGCAACAAAATATAGCGAGAGGAATTTCATCTATTAAAAATGTTCTGGGCAATGTTTTTCAGAATAATGCTGGTTTGGGAGAAAGAAATAACCAAAGCTTTCAGACATCAGTCCAACTTTGTTTGGAAGCATCCAGAGTTCATTCCACAAATTCTGGTTAACACCTGAGACTCAACCAATATTTACCAAGTAGATAAGTATCACTGTACACTTGCTATAACCTGATTCATGGCAATACATTTCCAACATCCAGAGATGACAAATAAAAGCATTTGCTTATTTGTTGGCAACCAGAGGAAGCAGAACAGAATTATTTTGTGCTTGCATCCAACTGCAAAATGGTTGAAGCAGCATAAGGAATAAGCTTGCACCAGACTCTCTGACAAGTTGTTGCAAGCTCTTCTTGCATCCCAGAAGATGACTCCAAACAAATACCACTAACCTGGCAGATTTTTTGTGTGAAGTTCTCTGCTTCCTCTTTCCTAAGCTGCCTTTCTTGGGAAAGTTGTTCCTGTAGGCCCCTCAAACTCTCATTAGCTTCAGAAAGAACTAGTTGCAGTTCCTTGATCTGCAAGGACAATATAACAGCCAATACTGTAGTCAGAGGAGGTATTGTGACAAATCCCAATAACTCTATGCTATTTGGGAGAAGATGACCCAAAAAGCTGTTTATGATACAGTGGGAGCAACATTTGTCATTTTACGTATCTTTGTGCACAAATCTAAGACTTGTCCTTTGCAGTGAGGTATCTTTGTGTGCTTTAATATAACAATTACTATATATGAGAACTCTAGAAAGTAACATAAAAGGAAGAATCCTGGAAAAATTGTCAGCAATGGCCCCATGTACTCAGTTTATTGCATATTCTAATCCTGCAATTGAAAACTTTCAAATTATAATTTTGCACAAGAAGTCAGCATATCTTCCTTCAAATCCTTCTATTTTATACTTCAATTTTCCTCACTAGGGTGCTCTCCCAATGTGTTATGCTGGCTCAAACATCATGATCTGCAGCCAACACAGTGCTGCAACCCATCAAGTAGGATGAACACCAGATTGAACCATTCTTTTTTTATTATCTATGTATTCAACTTAACGTACTGCTGATTACTCTGACATGTAAGTATCTACATATTCCAATTTGGCTCTTCCCAAAGATTTAGCAGAACTGAAAATGGAAAGGTGGATGAATGGGAACCTTGCCTTTATTTTTTCCCCTCTTATATATAATTAAGAAATACTTTCCCAGCCAAGTAACTCTTCACAGAGTCCCCAGCCAGCCCTCCTCTCTTCCTTTAGGACAGTGGTTCTCAACCTTTTAATGCCGCGACCCCAACCGGTCGTAAGTCGAGGACTAAACCGGTCGTAAGTCGAGGACTAAACCGGTCGTAAGTCGAGGACTAAACCGGTCGTAAGTCGAGGACTACCCAACCGGTCGTAAGTCGAGGACTTTCCCTGCCCGGGAGCGCCACGCATGCGTGGTTCCGCCCCCTGCGCCGGCCGAGGCGTAGCTGGCAAGCAGCAGAGACGGAGCAGGGCGACCACCAGCTGGCCCAGCCCAAGGGAGGTAAGGCACCCGCCGGAAAAGGGGAAAAAATGGCGGACAAAAAAAATGGCGGACAGCCTTGCTTGGCGACCCCCATGAAATGGTCGATCGACCCCAAATGGGGTCCCGACCCACAGGTTGAGAACCACTGCTTTAGGAACATCAGCACATACCTCAGACACGTAAGAATCCTTCTCTTCTCGTTGGTATGACTTGTAGCTCCGGTCATGTCCCATGTTGGCTTCCGAATTGATGGTGGCAGTGCTGCTGCTGCTGCTGCTGTTGCTGCGATATAGATCGGAGGGCCTGCTCTCCCCGACATCCCAGTCTGGGGCCTCCCTAAAGTCAGACTGCTGCATGCATGGGCAAGTTAATGAGAACAAACCAAAAGAATAGAAAAGAAAAGAAAGAACAAAAACAAAACAAATGGGTCTCAGGAACAATAAAGAGAGCTACAAGACAACAAAAAGGATGAAGAGGAAGAGGAGCTTCACTACTGTGGCAGAAGATAAAGTGGAAAATAAAAGGAGACACAAAATGAGGAGACACGTGGGCTGGATTGTTTGGGGAGGGGGAAAGAGAGAGAGAGAGAGAGGGAAAAAATGTGCAAACACCAGTTATGGTGCCATGCAGTGCTAGGGGTGAGGGTGTGGCTAGCTGGAATAACGGAGGGGGCCAGTGCATGCACAAAAATAAAACTCTGAAATTTTGGAGTGTGCTTCAGGAGGTTGCGATTCAGCCATTCCCCCAAACCATTTCCCACAAGACCCAAGGCATTTCATATCCAGTTTGGGTCACTACATTTTCTCTTGCTACATCAGGGTCCGGTCTGCAAGACTGAATATTCCTAAGTACCGTAGGTTATTATCTTAGCCAAGACAAACACAAAGTTTGTCTCTGCAAAGGTGCAGTTTCAAGCGTACTTCCATCCCTCCACTCTAAACAGGGAAAGTGCGTGCATTTGACAAATACTCAAATTATATTTACCATACGGCAAAGGTATCACAGTAAACCTCCCCAAAATTACTGTGTCAAACAAAAACCTTGAAAGCTAATGTTTTCTCTTACTGAATTGACTTTGGAAAATTATTTTAAAATGGGTGCTATGTCATTGCAAATCTATCAATATGTGGAAATGATTTGAAAAGGTCACGGCACATGGTCTTGATTATCTTGTAATATAATCCCCTTCTGGCAGGGCAATGATTTCATTTTTCTGCCCTACATATGAAATAGATTTGGGTTGGGGTTACAATATATTATGCATTTGTCTAGGCAAACTCCTGTTCCGTGCACACTCTGCTAAACCAGAGTCCTATCTTGTTAGTGGCCTCAGTTCCATGCAGTGAACTAGTTGTTAGTTTGTCATTTCACTCTGAGAAAGTAGAAAAAGGAAGTTACATTAACAGGGTCAGGTTCTGATTGGTTAAGGCAAGAAAAACAGTACTGTACAGCAAATAAAGCAATAATAACTGCAAGGGAGTCACTGTCAACAACTCAGAGAAACCCTCACCTGGAATTCAGCACCATGACTTTTTCGTAGAGCTTCTTTGGTGGAATCCTGGGAGCTGGAACCTGGTAGGGAATCCTGCTGATCTTTCAAGCAGCCACCAATACCGTCCACTTTTTTCATAAAGGTGTTTAGCTCCTGTTGCAGGACTCCAAGCCGCATCAAAATAGCATTGACCAGCTTAGAGTCCGTAGTATTCTCATTGTCCATTGCCTCACTCAAAACTAGCTGTGCACAGTCATTGTCCATGCAAAGTTTGAGGCTAGAGGTAAAGCCATTGGCATCAGAAATCAGGACATCAATAGCTTTGCTGACAAGAGCAGCCTGATCTCTGATGTCAAGGAGGGTCTCAAAGTCTTTAAATTTGGAAAGCTGGTTGGGGCTGCTTTCGTGAGTTTTGCTGAAGCCATTGCTAGGTACTTTCTCCTTTGCATCATTTTCTCCCCCAATAGGAATTTCTTTCCAAAGCAAGGTTGGGATGCACAAGGCAGAATCACCAGCCTCAGCATCTGTCTCCAGCATGGGTCGGGTGGTATGGCAAGAGGCAAGGTCACAACGTTGCAAGTTGGAGAGGAGCACACGGTTCTCATACTGTAGCTTCTTAACTTTGCCACTAAGCTCACTGATTTGGACCTTGGCAGTGGCCAGTTCTTCTTGAGAAGTCTCGCTGATCACAGAACAGCTGTCCTCAGATAAAGTAATATCTAGATCATGATCTGACTTGTACTTATTGAGCTCATTCATGAGGAGCTTATTCTGTTCCTCCAGCTCCATCAATGAACGTCTCAACAGGTCTGCCTCTTCTTCCACAAACTGCAAGTGCCGCCTGAGTTCTGTCACACTCTCCCCAGAATCTCCATTGTTTGCCATGGAGAAAGCCAACTGGATATCTTGTCCCAAAAGGTCTTTATCTCCCTGCCCCTTCATGTCATCCATCTCTGCCCTCAGTCCTCGATTTTCAACCTCAAGCTCTACTATTCTGCGGCTCAGAATATTGGCTTCTTCTTCAACAAGTTTCAAATGGACCTTTAGCTCAGCTTCTCTGGAGTAAGGTGAATCAGCCAGCTCTTCTATGGAGAGAGAGCTTTCCAGGTCCCCATACAAGGACTGGTATTTTGTCAGCTCATCCTTCATACTGTCATTCTCTTTTGCTAACTTGGTTAGTTTTTTACACATTAGAGCAGATTCCTCCTTAGCAAAATGCAGTTGACATTTGAGATCTGCACTGTCTTCCTAGGATCAAAAAAAAATATGATGCAAGCATTACCAAAAGAAAATGGTACTTTTAACAAATCACTGTATATTAGAAAGACTATTGATCTTTCATGGCAATAAGATTAACATTGACATACTATAATTGATTACATTTATATTGATATTATACTGAGAAACCAAAGTTGGGGTTTGTGCTTGAGAACTTGAAGTTATCATATAACCTAAACGAGATCAGTTCCTCTTGGATAACATTTTCATTTTCCCTTGAGGAACATTATCTCATTAAAAGTGACCGTTAGACCGTTATAAAATTAGTTCATTTCCTGCTTATATAACTCATGGAATAAAAAGCTCTAAGAAAACCCTCAGAAGAAAAGAATGTCTCCAGTAAGCACTCAAACCTTCTTTCCAGATGTCCAATACACTATGAGCATTCAGCTACAACTGACAGCTTAATGTTGCATCAGCCAGAATTGAAAAAAAGCAACTATTATTCAATTCTTAAAATGTACTGCATTGTTGCATTATCATTACAAAAATTCTATTGCACCAGATTGAAACATAGCATAAATTGGGGGAGGGGGAATAGAAACTCACTAAAGATTAAAAAAAAACTCTTCCTTTTATCCTTTGAGGCAAGCCACTAATTATGTTTCCTTGGAATTATGAGCATATCCTGCAAACTGTGTTCAATAAATGCCTCCATGTCAGATCTTTGCTTCTGGGTCCTGATTGTTCAAATGCTGGATATCTCTTTTAAAAAGTTCAAATATCAAGAGACTTCAGCAAAAAGATACAAAGCTACTTTCCTCAGTTTGTTGTTATTCATTTATTTATTTGAATTTATTAGCTACCAATTCCAATGGAGTCTTTAATACTGAAATGAAACATTGAGCTACCTTCAGGAATTAGGCTAATGTAATGGAGTTAATCAGGGGAATTAGCTTTTTTTTCACTGGGGAAATACAGTTTGATACTTTTCATGTTTGACCTCTGGGGAGCATAATCGATACTCTGATGACATAACATCAACTGGGAAGAGGTCTGGAGTTATTTTTCCCCATCAATTTTGGGGTTTGAAATTGTTAAAATATAATATAGATGTTAACATACTCCTTGCTAAGAAAAAAATTGAATGTGTCAAATTTAAATGGTGCGGTCTTTGGGAGCTACATCGTATGAAACTTCCAAATACTGTTCAAGGGAAGCCCCATGTAGAGCACATTGCCGTAATCAGTCTGGAGGTGACTAGAACATAAGTGACTATAAGCAGGGACTACCAACCCAGGAACAGGCACAATTAGCATACAAGACAAAGCTATGCAAAGGCCCTCCTAGCCATAGCTGCCCCCTGCTCATGGGACAAGAGTCATAAATCTAGGAGGACCTGTGCACTGGGTCTGCCTGAGGTCATGCAACCCCATCCAGCACCAAAAATTGTATAGTCCTGGAATCAGCAGGTTCCCAAACACAAAGCTAGTTAATCTTGTGAGAGTTCAGCTGAAACTGTTTTTTCCCATCCAGACATTTAAAGCCTCCAGGCACTAAGCTAAGATGTTCATGACATTGTTTAATTCACCAGAATTAGAAATATATAATTGGCCACCATCAGCATAGTAATGACATCTTACCCCATGTGATGACCTCATGTAGATGTTGAAAAGGAGAAGAGAAACCACTGATCACTGTGGCACCACACACTGGCTGCAGGTGAAACCTCTCTTGTCCTTCTCAATTATTACTGACTAGAATTGATCCTAAAGGAAGGAATGTGCTCTACATAGTATTTGGAAGTTTCATACGATGTAGTTCCCAAGGATCGCACCATTTAAATTTGACACATTCATGTAGTTTTTTTAGGAGTATGTTAATATCTATGTTATATTTTAACAGTCCCAACTGAAAAGAGTCTAGATAATCTGCCATGATAAATTGTGGCCACATTCGTGTAGTTTGCTTGGTAGCAATATGGAAATGGTTGGCTACTGTCTTCTTCCAGGACATTTTTTTCTACTTTTTCTAGCTGCCACACCATAACTTTACAAGATCTCAGAGCTATCCTGTTTGGCTTTATAGATCAGCAGGGATGGCTGTGTGCACCAAATCATGCTGAAAATCATGCAACCGACACTTCAATCTCCATACAGTAAGTTTAGATAATAATGGATTTAGCTTGGGGCATAAATCACTAGCTGACATCAGCTGTGCTCAATAAGCATACTCAGTTCCTCTATAAAAGCAATACATATTCTTCTGAATATGGATCTCAACTTGAAATATGCTATAATAGGACATTTGGAAACTCTTATCAAGGTTATTAAAAATCAAAAACCTGGCAGTATGCAAAATCAGGCTTCAATCTTACTTGAGCTTGAAGTAAAACTTGTTTGGGAATATATTACTTCTTTCTTTTGACAGCATTTATTCAAAGCTTATATTATTCTAGATAATCATATAACCCATGCTAATTTACATTTTCAAAAATCCCAAACAATAGTGAAATTATACCATAGAATCCATGGGGGACAAAAAAAAAGAGTACAATAAATTAAGCTGTTAAGGACAGTACCTCTATAAAGCATAACTTTACATTTGTTTCTATATTCTCATATCTACATAATCATTCTATAGATATTCAAATGTTCAATCCCTTGATCCCCGATTATGACTTTAAAAAAGGAGTAAATACCACTTTAGAAGTTAAGGAAATTGCCATAGAGCAGGGGTGTCAAACTGCCGGCCCGTGGGCCAGATGTGTCACGAGGAAACCGCGCCCACCCATTGCCAGCAATAGGAAAAAGCTCGACGTCACGTGACGTCACAAGTTTGTCATGTCTGGCATAGAGCATTTAAATTGAGTTCAGTTCTACAGGTTATCCAGATTTTCATTCTATATTCAGAGATCAGAATCTACCCTTCTGACTATAAGAAAGGACTGGTCAGGTTTAGCTGTATGATCCATGGATGATACCTTCTATCTAAACCATCACCTAAGAGTTACCAATCATGTAGATGAGAATCAAGAACTCTCTCACCAAAGATTCTTGTATTTTCCTAAAAGGGTTGTTTTCATTTCATTTAACATTCAATAGACCAACAATATAAACTGACAGAGTGAGAACACTGGGAATGCAAAGCAGAATTCCAGTCTCGTTAGCATAATCTTGGTAACTGAAGAGCAATATAGTTTGTTCTAAAGCTATTGCTATCCCAGTCTATTCCAGCCTGCAAACAATTTCACATCTGTCCTTTCAGGTTCTCTGGTCAACACATGGTTATAATGCAAAATTACATAACTGCCCTAAATCATGAAGATATCTCAGTTTCAACAGACACATCTATGTTTTTCTAGCTATTGATCAAAGAAAGGATTGCAACCAGAATAAAACATCAATTCCGGCCTTAGGGAGAGAGTATAAACTCAATTTAAAAATTAGTCTACTCAATGCAATGGACTGGAATCTGCTCTCCTGCTCGCTCGCTCGCTCTCCCTCTCCCTCTCCCTCCCTCTCCCTCCCTCCCCCCCTCTCTCTCTCTTGTCTGCCATCAAGCTATCTCCTTTGCATCACTGCATCTTTCTGGTGATACAATTGTTCATGGAGGATTTGAACAATATATTCCTGATATTAGAGACCTATTCAGGGTCCATCAATGCCATGCAGAGCATGTAAACATTAACACTAAGCACATCAAACCTACATTCTATTAAAAGATGTGGTTGGCCTGCTTTTAAATAGCAATGAAAGAAAAGCAAAAAGTATTATTGCCCCATAGTTGCAACATAAGCTTTGTTCCTTTGCAACCTAGTACCAGCTATATCAACAACATATAGGTGATAGTCTTGTCACTTGTTAGCAAGTGAAAATTATTTACAGGGCATGTTGCAATTGATAAATAGTGCATGTTGAAGCAGATGGTCATGTTAGGGCATTAGTAAATATACATCTGTGCCTATATTACACAAGAGCCCTATAACATATACTTTTTGGTTTGCAACAACAGCTAAGTTGGCATTGAATGGAATTTCCACTCCAAATATTTGTTGCATTAAGTCAACAAATTTCCTAGACTTATCAGAGGGGAGATTTACTTGAAATGCCAGTGATTAAAAATAGGACCTTTCTGCATGCAAAATATGTTACTTTGTCATTAAAATGCAAGATGAAGATGAAAAAAGTATATTAGAATGACATCCTAAAATACAAACAAAAAAAGCCATTTGGATTTTTTGAAAAGATAAAGAATTTGAAGTTAAGCATTCACTGGAAATTATATTGCAACAGCATATCAATTATTGAAATTGTTGTACCTGGACAGATGATTTCTTGTCTGTCTTCCCTAGAGAACGTGATCCCCTTTTCTTTAAAGAATTCTGAAATAGAAGAGAGAATTTTTTTATATATAAAAATGGCAGCTGTACAATGCTAACACCCAGCAATCATCTAAGCAGTTTTTTCCTGTGACTATGTATATTAGCCCTGATCACTAATGTCCATATCTTCCAGTGAGCTTCATAGAGCTGGGTTTAATTTCCTCCATGTTTTCAAAAAATATGTTTTCCCATGAAATCAATGCATTAACAATACATGTCAGTGAGACTGACTAAATTCCTCATATTTGGAGAGAATTGAAATAAAAAGGCAGAGGTGGAACTGAAGTTTTTCTTTGTATCTTGCTGGTTGGGGGATTCTGGGAGTTGAAGTTCACATATCTTAAAGTTGCCAAAGTTGAGAAACACTGTTTTGCCTGTTTATCAGCCAGGCTTGTATTTCACCCTTCATCAAGAGCTGAAGCAGCTTACATCAGGATCACAGCAATAGCAATAGCATTTAGACTTATATACTGCCCTACTGTGCTTTACAGCACTCTCTGGGTAGTTTACAATGTAATCATTATATCCAGTGGTGGGATTCAGCCAATTTGCACCAGTTCAGTAGAACCGGTAGCTAATTTTTTGTTGCCCAGGCCCAGAATGGACTTCCAGAAGCAGCATCCACACAGAGAACCGGTTGTTCACACATTTGAATCCCACCATTGATTATATCCATATTGCTCCCAACTAGCTGGGTTCTCATCTTACTGAACTTGGAAAAATGGGAGGCTAAGTCAACCTTGAGACCAGTCAAGATCAAACTCCTGTCTGTGAGCAGAGTTTGCCTTCAATATTGCACTTAACCACTGCATCACAGGGCTCCTTATTATCCCCACAATTACAACTTCATGAGGTAGGTTGGCTGAGACAGAATAACTGGCCCAAACCAATCCAGGGAATTCATACACATTGAGAATGGACTAGAACCTGAGTCTCCTTACCGTCTGTCCAATCCCTTAAGTCATACTGGCTCTATACCTTTCCCTATTATTATCAGATAGGATTTAATACAAAACTTATTTTAGAAAATGTAGTGTGCGAAGTAGGAAACAAGTTTTGTGTGTGTGACATAATGCAGGAAAGGTAAAATTATGATCCCTAGCACTGCATATTAACTCAGAGAGAGGAAATTCACCAATAGTAATTAAAATTCTCAAGGAAATCTCTCTGTTCTAGATTGACTCAGTTCCTGCAAAGTAGCAAAACATAGCAATGTTTACTTGGTTGACAAAGGAGAAAAATAGCAACCACCTACTATAAGAATTTACAAACCTATATAGTTAAGGGGCATAACTGACACTTAATGAGAGTAACGGAAATACAACTTGCATTTATATTAATAGTAAGCAGAAGCTTTGTGGTAATAGTATGAAATCACTAATACAGTATATTAGAGGCTAGCATTTTGTTATAAAGAATTGGAATTCTTTGTAGCTTCTTCATTGAGGGATGTGCATTATTTTTTCTCTTTTCATTAATGCAAAAAATTAAAAGACTTCTAAAGTAAAATGATGCTTAAGGTATAGGAGTGGTTGGTTGTCAAGAACATTCAGTCTAATTCACAACATCCATAACAGTTTACTATGATTAACCAGTTAATTATGAATAAATAGGAGTAATTATTGCCATTCCACCAAAACTATGCTGTTGTAAAGTACCTATAAAAATTCCAGCAGAATGTAGGACTAATCCTGGAAGAATTAAGCATTGAAGCCATCAGATTAAAACAGTTACATTTATATTATAATACACAGTCATGAAAGCTAGTATTATCCAAAACCAAGCAAGCAACAAAGGACTCTTTGCAAACAGACATACACACAAACACACACACACAGAGTCACTAGCCCAAAGTCACCAATGAACTCCATGGTCAAATGACGCTGGAACATGAGTCTCCCCAAGTCCAATATCCAGTTATATTTCATTAATTTATAAGTAATACTAACTAAAAAAAATATAAACTTCCTTTAAAAAATAAATTGCCAACATACAGCTTTAATGGCCAATTACCACAAACTTCCAGTGGTGAACGTAATGTTCAGTATAGTGGTTCTCGCCTAATGAGAACGTTATGCAGTATGATCACATGCTTATATAATGGCTGTTAACAAGATAAATGATAGCTAAGGGGGTATATTAATGACTATAAGCCACGACAGTTAAGAATGTCATTTCCAGAGCAAGATGATAACTAAGTAAATACGTAATCCTGTTGAATTTATACCGATTCATCGCCAAGATTTCAACAAGACAATAAGAATACATAATTTAAAATTAATTTACAAATCTCCTTTTCTTGGTACACAACTTCCTCCTCAACAGCTTCATATATTATCTTGCTGCCAACAGATGCCCCACTGAACTGATGAATAATTCAGTCCAGGGGAGCTTACATTTGTCTTGGCATATACAGACCAGGTTTAAAACCCAACTCAATCAGGGATTAAGTAGACTGAAATAAATACACCACAGTCACTAAGTCTCTTCATTCCTCCTAAAATAAGAAATTCATATCAGATGCTACAGTGCATCTCGTACACGTAGGCCTCAACTGATGATCACAATTCAGCCCAAAATTTCCTTCGCTAAGACAGTTGTTAAGTGAGTTTTGTCCCATTTTACAACCTATCTTGCCACTTGTTAAGTGAATCCACTGCAGTTGTTAAGTTAGTAATGTGGTTGTTAAGTGAATCTGGCTTCATCGTTGAAGCTTGTCAGAAGGTCACAAAAGGTGATCGCTAGACCCTGGGACACTGCAACTGTCATAAATAGGAGCTAGTTGCCAAATGTCTGAATTTTGATCATGTGACCACGGGGATGCTGCAACAGTTGTAAGTTTGAAAAATGGTCATAGGTCACTTGTTGCAGTCCATTATAACTCTGAATAGTCACTGAACAAATGGTTGTAAGTTGAAATCTACCTGTACTCTATTTATTCAGTTACTATGTAAGAAGATTTTTATTGAGACATCTTTTGGAGTTAAAAAGCTTGAGAATGCTGACTAGTAATTTCTTCTTTCCTAATGTATCTGTTTTTATTCTTCCTATGCCCTACTCCCTGTGATTTGAAATATAGCCAATATTATAAAAGAGCTTTTATAAGGAAGAAGGGGAACGCTGGCTTGCCTCTTCCACGTTCCAATACATTTAGAAAGAGTTTAGTATATTGTGTGTGTGTGTGTGTATTTGTTTTCGTAGATTTTCATGGGTACAGGTATGCAGGTCTTGGCGTATTCGGGTCTTTTCCCGTGTAAGATTGAGAGTATCTTGGCGACGTTTCGATGAGGTCCCACTCGTCATCTTCAGGCTGGGGTCTTCGGCTTCGTGCTTGTGCGAGCAAAGTGTGATCGGAGCTGCCGTCTCTCTATAAATATTGGTGGGGGTGTGTGGAGTGCTGGCTTTGTTGCTGTAGGTGGGTTGGTTGGCTGTGTTGGAGTTATTGTTTGCGGATTGTTCGGCTGTTTCGTAACATCCTGAGTAGCTGAGGTGCTGGCTGTGTGCCCATTAGTCTTTTGTGTTGTAATGACCTGGGTAATGGGCTGTGTGATGACATCCTGAGATCTAGTGTAGTGATATCCTGATTTCTGTGTTGCAACATGCTGGGTGGTTGGCTGTGTTGTAACATCCTGAGCTTTAGCGTTGTAACATCCTGAGTTCTGTGATGTGATGTCCAGAGCAGAAGGCTGTGATGTAACATATCGGGCTTTGGTTTGGCTCCGAGTTTGCGGTCTAGTTCTGTGTTCCTGGCGTGTATCCGTTGCTTTGTGCGGGGGTCGGAGGGAGGTGCAGCAGCTGGTGATGTCGTCGTGGTTTGGCTTCTGGATGGTGGTTGCATTTCGTCTGAGGGATGGGTTTGGGCTTGGGTTTGGGTCTGGTGAGGGTGAATGGTGGTGGCGTACTGTGTTGTTCTGGGTCCGGTGTCAGAAAACTGTACCCGTGAAAATCTACGAAAACATCTACGAAAACATATATATATATATATATATGTGTGTGTGTGTGTGTGTGTGTGTGTGTGTGTAGGTCTTTGGTCATTTGGGTTTTCTCCCGCGTAAAATTGGAAGTATCCTGGCGACGTTTCGACGAAGTCACATTCGTCATCTTCAGGCTGGTGTCTTTAGCTTCCTGCTTCTGGGAGTAGTGTGTGTGATCGCAGCTGTTTCTTCCTTTTAACTGCCAGTGGGGTTTGAGCTGATTGGGTGGGAGCTTGGCTGTGTTCTGATGGGGTGGAGGTGTGTTCTGATTGGTTAAGGAGCTTGGCTGTGCTCTGATTGGATGGGGGGTTGGCTGTGCTCTGATTGGATGGGGGAGTGTTCTGTTTGGGTGGGGGCTTTGTTGTGCTCAGGTTAGTCTGAGTTGCAGGGGGATTTGAGATGGTGAGCTTCATTGCTGTAGTTTGGCTTCGTGTTCGTGGTCGTGCCAC